GACTTGCAGGCCTCGGAGCAGCAGGCCTGCGGGTCCCGCTCCTTTGATGAAAACGAGCGTGGTCCCTTCCGTTAGAGTCGGGTTGTGACGTGGAAAACAGCCCGGTGTGAGATCTAACACATCTGTATTATCATTGCGGGGGAAGGGGGGAAATAGCAATCCCTGCTCCCTGCAGGGGGGTTGGGCTAGATGATCTCTCAAGGTCCCTTCCAACCCAAAGCATTCTATGATTCTATGAAATACTTCTGTTGTAAAGGCAGCCGTTTTGCTTGTTCTTATGGTCTGCAACATCCGTCTCTTTTCATCTTCCTGCAGGCATGTAAGAACTAGTGTGACTGCAGGTATTGCAGCTGAAGTAAACTTGTATGTAACGGAGAAATCACATTAACTATTTAAACAAAACAGTATGAAGCCAACCTGTAATTTGTGGACTATAAAATGTGTCATTTGTTCGAAAGGTCAAATATATGACTTCAATTTCTTTTTAGTTTTAGAATGGGGAGTAGTCTGCCTACTTCTGTGGGACTGTCCAATGATGCTGCTATGAATCAAATACAGGTAACATTATTTATGCAATTCTTATTTCTAAAAGCCATAGTTACTTAAAAGCTCTTCTGATTTATACGGAGAAATTCTGTAAATAGTTCTGCATGTTGAATCTGATTCTTATGTTTATTAAGTAATACTGGGAGCATTGTTTATCCACAGCCCTGGAACCTGATCTGCCTAGGCTGCATCCATTTTACTTTTTCAGACCTCTACTCAAATTCAGTACTGCTATCAATATTGAGGATTAAACCTTGTAAAATGACTGATATCAAGTAAATATTTAAAGATTAAGTTGCTTTTTAAAGTAAATTTACAGATACTAAATTACAGCCTGAAGTCACCTTGAATTTACAATAAATTAATTGGAGTATTTCTGTCTTCCCCTCAGAACCCTTTACGTCATTCCCCTTGCCACTGACACATCCTGTTTGCTTACAGACAGGGAAAGCTGTACTAAATAACTCAAGGAGATGCAGCTCATTTGGCAGACTGTAGGAGATCTGTGACTGCAGAACAAGAGAGGGTTCAGGGCTGGCACCACTGCATGGCAGTCATATGCTCCACAATCATTCTGCTCAGTTTTGGGGTCAAGTGCCGGTCATACACAGCTTTGTAGGTGCCAGCAGTGCTTCTGGTAGAGATCATTAATGCCAACTCTCCTCTATTTCTCTGCTCCCACAAGATGATGATCGTAGCATTCCTCAAAGTTAGACACTGCTAAGTTTTAACTGATTCCAGGTGTTCTACTCAAAGAATAGAGTATGCCTTTTACTGAAAAGTTTGAGTGGAACAGAAGTCACTTTATCTTCCACGTTGTTCTGCAAACTACTGAAGCTGCGCCTCACTACCCGCTGCACTTGGTGCACAGATACTCTTTGGGATCTGGCCAAGTGCAACTGCACTCCTTGAGGTTGAGAGTCTGACTTTCTTGGTAGTTGGGTAGGAAGCAATTTTTGTTCTGATGTGAAAGAATGGGATGCATCCCTAAAGGAGGTGCTTGGCCACCAGAGGTCTTCAGAATAAATGTGGGGTGGATATGTTTTGCACCTACCATACAGGTGCACTATCTTCTTGACAGATGCCTTGATAGAAGTCACTGTTCTGTTCCTTGTTTTTGAAGAAAAGTAGTTCATTCCTTGCCTTAAGATTCTTGTGGCTCTACATTAGAAGTAGGGAAAATTTAGAAGCTAAACTAGCTTTTCACTTCACCTTAAAAAACTGAGAATAAAGTACAGTGTTTTGGAAGATTCTTCAGAAGTAGCCAGCCACCGCTGTAGCATGGCTGGGAACTCCTCAGTTGTCCCTGTTAAAAATACCTCAGAAAGCCTTTCACAGAGGGCAATTTTCCTGTATTTATTACCGTAATAGCAGATTTTTAACTTCTGTATTTGTTTTCATGACTGTTCGATACTATTAAAACACACTGACTTAAAAACAAAGCATGCTGACTTGAACATTCTTTTGAACGTACAGGAGATTATTTCAGAAAACTGTGTGGTGATTTTCTCTAAAACAACATGCTCCTACTGCAAAATGGCAAAAAAACTCTTTGAGGATATGAATGTAAATTATACAGTTGTAGAACTGGACATGAGTACAAATGGAAGTCAGTTCCAAGACACTCTTGAACAGATGACTGGTGGCAGAACAGTAAGTATATTCTCTTAAGTGTAACAAGCAAAGTAAGAACTTACACTAGACATGTTCCTCATGGGTTATGACCGTATCAAGTTCTTCATTTTTTTGAGACAAATAAACTTGGGATACAAGCTCCTAAATTAAAGACAAGGTGCTGCAGAAGGGTTCTGTACTGTCTCTTCCTCTTGAGACCCACTGACTAACCCTGAGGTGATTTTTTCCATACTGCCACTAAGATAATTGAAGTATCGAAGTCAGGTTTAATTTGTATAGGTATATTTAATCCACTGTCTTTAACACTTATCTTGTAATTTCTTAATTTTATATAGTCTCACTTGACTCAATTATTTTAATTTATTACAATCTCCCATACAGTGACTTCGTGCCGCTTTTGAGGGACACGTGAACAAAGTTTCCCATCTCTGTAAATATTACAGAAGTGTATGAGTTGTACAGTAATATTAAATATGCATATGTAAGAACATAGCTGTTGTGTGTATATTAGAGTCCACGTGGGCTTGCTTAGATTTTTATCTTTTTTCCAAGAAGTAACTAATGCAATTTTCATTTTCTTGATAGGTCCCGAGAGTGTTTGTCAATGGGACTTTTGTTGGAGGTGCTACAGATACTCAAAGGCTTCATGAGGAAGGCAAACTGCTTCCATTGGTTCATCAATGTCAAGTGAAAAGAAAATCCTGACAGCTATCTAGGTTAACTTAGTCTTCCTTTGTATAAACAAAATTTCAGACAAGTTACAAGATCACAAAGATAACACTGCATCAGCTGGACTCAGCAACTTCAAGCCATGGATTTCTGAATCGTAGATCATTCTCCAACACAGACTTTATGGACCTGGCAAATTACTTGGTGTCCTTGTCTCAGCTTTACCACAACCAAAATGGTGATAAAAAACCATTACATAACTCTTGGGGCTCTAAGTGTGAGACAGTCATGTCATTTTATTGCTATTACATCCTGATACTATGCTTGGGAGAAGTATAGACTGTATAAGAAGAATCCTGTTTTGTTTTTTTTTTTTTCCTGCAAATTAGTTTGCTTTCTAGCTTTGTTCCAACAGTTACACTAAATGATCAGTTTAATTTGAATGTTCCTTTAAATTTAATTCTTCTCTGAATGTCAAATTGTAATCGTGAAGGAAGTATGAAGCAAAACAAGTTTGTAGTGCTATTGCTGTATGCATGTCTGCCTCTCTTATGTTTCGGTGTCTGACCATCTAGCTACCAAATAGTGTGTCCAGTTGCTACAGAAAAGGGAATAAAGATTGTTGCAGCTTTAGAGGGGTAGGTAATTGCTTTCATCTTTACTCTGCACTATGAAGTATCAGTCTAGACAGTGTCATTCAGGAATATCCTTCTAGGGGAGCCAGACAGCTCACTGTCACTAAACTGTGCAGCTACAAACTACGTTATGAGCAATCCAATGCTATTATGAAACTTAAGACCAAGTAAAATGGGTCTAATATGCATAGAGTTTATTTAGTACTTCAATTCTACAGTCAGAATGCAGTTTACTAGCAATTTTATCTTGCAGTTAAATGTCTAAAATTCAATAGTTTCAGTACAGTGTACATCCAAAGCCAGACCAGGCAATGCCAAGACTCTTGGTTATTTCAAGAAAGTTCATATGCAAGTAGCAAATTGTATCCCATTCTTCAGTGAAAAGGACCATTACACTACTAAAGGTGCACAGTTTAGAATAAAAACGTCAAGTCAATGAATTTTTACTCACTTCTTGTGAATAAGACTCCTGTTATTTCCATTGCTTTCAGGAATGAATCCACCTAAACTACTTTTCCCCTCGAGGGGAAAAAAGCATCACATTTATCTTCAACTACAGATAACTAGGACTGTAAGAGTATCATTTAAATTTGACAGCTTCATTTTTGTGTTGCAGGTTTGAAGTAAGTTTGAACCGCATCATTTGTAGAAAGTCTTTAGTATACAGTTGCCTGTGCTGTGCATCTTTAATGTGTAATGGGCTAATTAAACACACTGACCTCACTATATTTTTATTATTGCAGTTTACTGTATTTTGCTAGTTTCATCACTGCCTTATTAAAATTTTGTTTCCAAGGACACACTCATCAAGGTAAACACACACAAATGTGCATCTTTCCATAAATTTATACTTAATAAAGCAATTTATTTTGCACACACAGTGGTAACCAAGTATTCTTTTTCTGTGTAGAATTCTTAGGCCAGTTATGTTTTCTCAGAAGATTAACAATAACTTTACACCTGAAAGCTGGTAAATCCGTCATGTAAAAATAATAATAGTATGCAAAGGAATTTTTCAAAGACCTTTTCATTTTGTTCCCTGTTTTTTAAAAAAAGAAAAAAGTCCCAAAACAGTAGTCTAAAAGAACCCTTTGAGTTCTAAGTTTCAGAAAGCCCAGGACATTGTCACTTAAGGCAATATTCTACTCCAACTGTTAAGAAAACATGCTGTATGCCTGCAGATCCAAGTGAGTGCCCATTTATTAAAGAAGGTATGTCTTAAGGCACTCAAAGGGTTAATTATGTTCCTTTTAACCATATTAAGGCTCCCCATCCAAATAGTTTCTCATTAATTTTGTATCAGTTAATAGAAAGTAGCAGCAAGACGGTGCCTTCATTATTGGATGGCACAAAGCCATGTTATGTTTAAGTTATTTAAACATGATATGGCAGTTAAAGTGTGGTTCTACTCTAGGAAAAAAAAAAAAGGGAGGTACTCAAAAATAGTCATTAAAAGTTTCCATATTTTTTGCTTAGCATTGTCTCCAGGACAAAGCTGTTTATCTTAAAATAATGCTTGCCCTGGGATCTGAATGTTAAAAATGATCCACTGGAAGATTCTGTACTTACACGTAAGACATACCTGCTCATCCATCTTAAATACCATGCTCCCAAGAAGCATGAGAAGCTGGAAACATCAAGTTATTTAACTAAGCAGATAGAGCTGTGAATGTGCTCATCTGTTGCTTCTTTATACAGAATTATTTTTAAAGAGTAGAACTGCACTTTTATAGGAGAATGTAACAGAAAAGACATTTTATTAGTAACTAGTTGTGCTTAACTCTAAGAAACTGGTAACATTAGAACAGCTATTTATATTCATTATTTGTTAATGAAGCAGCTGTAAAAGTTCTCAACATACCACATATATATATGTAAATATATATATTTAAACTTAAATTCAGAATGCAGAAATACCTAAAGAAACCACGCTTTACAGTATCAAAATTATAAATCCAAATGTAAGCACACGTATTTAAAGACACCATACCTTCTGCTGAAATTAGCTAATCTTAAATCTTAGCTCTCAGAGCGGCACATACATAGTACACTGTCCTAGTGTTTTACCTTTCCCCCCGTAACGCTTACTCAGCATTGTTGTATACTATACTGTATCATGGTAGGATGAAATCTCTACCATTCCAGCAATAAAATCATTAAAATGGCTTACAGCATATTTATCCACTGTGAACCACAGCAAAGAGCAAAATAAACCTATAAACTGATGAAATGCTTAAAAAAAAGATTAAAAGCCAAGCAATACAAAAAATTCTTTGCTTAGGTTTACTTCTACATCCTATTCTTTGAAGATTTTCTCTAATCAATACTGTAAAGAAGCTGCCCATTTATCCAGAATATTAATTTAAATGTTTCCCTAATTCTGCATGTAACAGCAGCTTGATAGTATTTAACAGAATGGAAAGCTCCAACCCACTGAATTAATTCTAGAAAAAAGCTTTGAATTTGAAAAGCCAATTTTAAGCGGTTACCTTATAAAAATAAATCCATTCACAGGCAGATGTTGGATTTTTGTAAATAAACAAAGTATACTTTTGTCACTGATCTTTACACAAAGTTTAACCAAAAATCTGATGGATACAGAAAATTAAATGTTTTATAAGAGATTTATATAATCAAAGGAAAGAAAAAAATTACCCAGTTTTTAAAAATTAAGATAAATATTATGACATCAGTTCTGGCGTAAGTTATTTAGCTAAGCTAGCACGCTTAGACAGCAAGAAGGCAGAAGAAGAACAGAGGCAAAAGAAGGAATGGGCGAGAGCTTGTATGTGAAGAGAGATTCAAATACAGGCCTGAAGTGACAAGGAGATGGGAAAGGAGAAAAAAGCCAGCATTTACAGAGAAAAGGGAGGGCAAAGCAAAAAGCTAATACAAGAAACAAAATAAATGGAACCAATACTCATGCTTCTGGTACGGTGGCTATGAGTTAGGTATGTGATTAAGCAGCACAGCATTTTGCAATGGAGAAAAATATTTTCCTAGTGTTTGTACATATAGAGCCATTATTAAAATACATTTCCAAAACTGCTGGTGTATTTTTTTGCCAAAAATATGTACTTTGTTGAATACCCTTTTAAAGCTATACCCAATTATGGGCCCCAATTAAACAACAATGAAAAAGAACATCATAACCCCCCTAATGATTTATGTTTAACAAAGAGGTTTAACAGTGGTTTTAAGCAGCAAGATATTTTAGGGCCAGTTACTAGTGGCCCTCACATAGTGGGCACTTAGAGTGGCCCTGCTGACTTCAGATCTACACCTATGTTAGACTTCTCTTTTTTAAACACATAGGACTGTAGGTAAAGACCCCATATTTTGCCTGTAATCTAATTCCACAAGCATCCCAAACTCTCCTCCTTGCTACAGGTCTAAACTTCCTGACATGAAATTCTATTTCTTGGCAAATTTATTACTGTTGTCATTCAATTTATTACACAATGCTGAGGTATGCATTGCATGATTTTTAAGGAATCTTGAGTACCTTCTGCCCTCTCCACACTCTTGATTGCATCCCTTCCGTGAAGAAACCTGACCCTTGAAGTTCATTCATTACAGCCCTTCGTCACAGAAGAATGTTTTACCTCTGCTGTGCTTCCAACCATCACATCCTTTTCTTCTTTCCTAAAGCTAAAGTGCCTGAACATTATAGTCTTAGACATAAGTCAGTTGTTTTTTTTTTTTAATTAATGTTTTGAATAAAATTAACTACCTTTAAACTTGTCCCTGTTAATTTGTACTGGTAAACTGCAGTGCACAGTTATAGCTCCATTTTTGTTTTGTTAGTCAAAGTGTTCCTCCAATGCAAACAACACTATTAACTTGAAATAATCAGTGTCTCCTCTCTGGTGGAGGGGTAGGTTATTAGGTTATTTTTCGTATGCTGAACTAATGCTTAAGCTTAGCAACTTTGTCTTAGCTCACTTTTTTTTTTTTTTTTAAACATTACAGTAATTACTGCTTCTTTACATGGCCAGATATCGTTTTGGAAATTATCAGTTTAATAACTAAAGACTAAAATCAGGACAAATTTACGTTATGGCAAATGAGTCATGCTGTCCCCTAAAATTCAGTGTATGGGCAGATAAAAAAGATCCAGTCTATGGAAAAGGAATAGGCAGCATCATTCTTCTATGCCCCTTACTGCAAGATAATAACAAAACCAGACAGAAAACAGTATAAACAAAGGTCAACACACTATAAAGTTTCATCTGTCAGCATTTACTTCAGTTTCCCCTCTCTGTGAAAATCTTAGAGGAGGAGCAGATGACAACATGATCTCATTGGTGCTAGTTTTACATCGGATAACCAAACCACTTAGAATATTCTATTTCTAACAAGATTTTTTAGTACAGAGATACGGTAAACATTTAGGAGCAT